TTGGAGTGCTTAAAAAATATATATAATTTTAAAGTGAAGAGCAACATGCATTTTGCCTTACGGAGGAAATATTTGTTTTGGATAAGTGCATATGTCTACGTATGCCGGGTTTTTCCTGAAAGAAATAATAGAGGCTTTTTAGGGCATATAAGCGAACTAACAATCATATCAAATAAAAGGTGGCTAAGTGTATTTGTATATTGATTGGTGATAAGTTTGCATTGCTGAGTAATTAGTATGACGATCTGTGATTGCGTAGTTTTGGGGGGGGGGGGAGGGGGGGTCGGAGAGAATACCTCCGTGATATTCCGTGATCAAGATATTTCCCCTAAATTTCAAAGTCACCGTGGTCTGATGAGACCGCGGTCCCAACTCCAGTGCACTGGAGTGTGCTTCGAGTTGACCCCAGTTCGAATTGCAGAACAACGCTAGTCAATTGCAGCAAAGTGAACACTGAAATGACAACAACAACAACAAAAATGGGGCAAGGTGAAAGATCACGCACAAGAAGCGTGGAGAGATTACACGCTTCGAATCACCCCGAGAGATGCACCACCTTCGAAAGATCCCCAACCCCCCCCAAAAAATAAGCCTGTTGTCTTGCTAGTCAGGGTTACTGCTTAAATCGTATGACCTCCCCTGAACCTCCGTTAAAGGTAAGTGCTCATCTTCGACACCTCAGCTTGCCCTCGGAAACGATTGTCGACAGGTATCGGCATACGGCGTTAATGAACGCGGCTTCGTTCACCGAATGTGTTTTTTAAATCCTTTATATTAAGTTCGCTTGCTTGCTTGCGCGCTTACGACCGTGCAAATCTTTTGGTCGTTTTTTAACCCACTTCCCGTGATCCAATCGAGCTGACATTTTGCACACAGACTCGTTGACAATTTATTTTCGTGAATTTTTTTTTACATAACTTTACACTTTTTAGGAATTTTTTTTATATTTAATTACCAATTGCTTAATGGTGGCAGGCAATCATCTGACCCATAGGTGGCAGCCATCTCAAGCCAGAGGACGAAAGGACTCTAGCCGCCACGCATATAAAGGATTTATAGTGAAAAACTTTGTTTTTACGGGTTAATTTTTCACCGTCGCTTTGAAAATAGGACCCGCGTCCCGTTGTGTACAAAGAACATTTCTGCTGGATTTTGTCTTCAATCGCCGGATCTGTTGAGACGTAACGATGCTTCGCTAGGTAAATGATATAATCATTATCCACTGCTGTTCTCTAGCTGTCACAGATTATGAGTCTCTTTTCGACATCGCAATACAGTCGTCCAGAAGTATTAATCTTAGATGGGAGCCTGACTTCTAACTTCTGGTTAGTATGTCCTCAGAAGTCACAAAGCCCTCTAAGTGGGTCGGCATCTCATTGCTCGTTGTTCTGAAGCAGTGCATTTTGTAGGGATGGTCAAATTGCATTGACTCTACCGAGATCAGACCTCAGCCCACTTTTCCTTATTTTGCACTACCATCACCGATTAGTGGCAAATTTGAGCCGCATAATACCAAGGCAGACATCGCAGAGAGCATGTTATGGAGTGCACACTTGGGCAGACATTAAGGTTAACCTTGTTAATAATTTGACAGAAGATTGTTGTACAAAACTACCCATCAAACAAACATTAAAAGTAAGGACAGTTATAAGATTTGGACTTGAGCCTGCAATTGTTTTTCTTCCACTTGGCAAACAATTCCCACCCTCAAAATACATACATCATGATAAAGGCCTATAGCCTAGGCTATAGGCTGAGCACGGACAAAGCAAATAAAACCCATTACATATTTGTTATAAAATACTAAACTGCTTATTGTATTCATTTGTTGTAAGCTGCATTCGAGTGGTTTTCATGATTCTCATGATCCCAACCGAGAATAAGATTCTGCCGGCCTAGTGGAATCACCACTGGGATGTAAGGCTCTCAATGGTGGATTCCAGCAGCTTCGTGTGTCTGTAGCCTTGGTTATACACGTGTCTGCTTCGTACATTCTGGCTCGGCATGGGCCCTCCATTCTTGCCAGAATGAATTCCACATCAGAATTCCAGTTGGAATCGGGCCAAATCCACATTGTGGGCATCAGCGGGGTTAAATATCCCACACTAACACAGCCACCTCGCTCGCCGAGCTCGACGTTGCTTCTCTGCGATCTCTCACATTAACACGCTAATCTCTCACATTAACATGCTAATCTCTCACATTAACATAGCCGCCTCCAGCCACACGTGGAGGCCGTTCTCCTATCTTACATTAACAAGCTAATCTCTCACATTAACACGCTAATCTCTCACATTAACATAGCCGCCTCTACACGATCGTCGTGGAGGTCGCCCTCCGATCTTACATTAACATCATTAGCCCCACCCACTTCGTTTATGACTCTTGGGCTACACCCATTTTAAACCTTTAAAACAGTGTGCTTCAGCAGCTTTCCCCCTCTTTTTTGCCTCCTGATGACGATCGCTTGTGTTGTGATCGAAACGTCGTAGTTTAAAAAAAAATTGTTATTTTCTTTGAACCTATCGACGTGACTTCTGCAGTCACGAAAGCTTGAAGTCAAGATTCTGATTCCTGTTTGGGAGCAGCAGATTTTCAAGACAATAAACACATTGGAGTGTTTTAACCTGCGCTGTTATTTTACATTTTCTCTTCACCTCTGCTGTTGTAGTCATCAAATGAAATGTGACATCAGAAGTACAAATTGCGTTGGAAGTGGGTGAGTGACCTCCCAATTGGCCACAAAGTGATGATTGAGTAATGGGCTTCGGCATATCCCACGGGCTCATTTATCAAATTGCTCGAATGGATTTCATACCATCCTTGTCACTTATAGATTTTCTTGTTTTGCTACAATTGGAGCCCCTGCTTTTGAGACAGCTATCAAGTGAACCGTTTTTGGTCTGTGTGCACTTGTGTATTGGTTTCCGTTATGATGATTTTACATATGTAGTGTGATGGACGGACGCACACACTGGAGTTGGAGGCAACACGTTTATATTACAACTCCCCAACAGGGTAACTCACTAAACGTACACTGGTTCTACTGCTAAGTGATAGCTACACAGTTAACTATGTGAGCAGCGGGTTAACTACCCGTACGGGTCAGTCATTGAGGCTTTTCAGCGTAAATAAGCGAGTTAACAATGATATTAAATAGAGGTGCCTAAATGCATTTGTAAATTGATTGGGGATAAGTTTGCATTGCTGAACAATTATGAAAAAGATGTGTGATTTTACAGTTCTGGGGGGAAAAACAACTCCAATGATATTCCGTGATCAAGATATTTCCCCTATATTTCAAAGTCACCGTGATCTGATACCACGTTCCCAACCCCAGTTAACTAGAGTGTACTTTGAGTTGGTCCCAGTTTGAGTTGAAGAACGCGAGTTGATTTAAGCAAAGTGACGTTTCCGTGATTTATCCGAGTTTGCCAAGTTATTGCGCGAGTTTGACAGATTCAATTTTTAAACCTCAGATGTTAATCACCTCGCCTGGTATACAGGAGGTCATGGTGTTGATCCCGACCCTGACGCCTGTACATTTGGAATTTGCATGTATTCCCCGTGGTCACGTGGATTTTTCTCAGGGTCCTCGTTTTTTTCCCCTCCACATTTAGAAACAGGCGTTAAGAGTATTTTGCTGCTATGAATTTCGACATGATAAACCACAGCATTGAGCTATCGTTTGTGTCCAGGTCGCTTCCAAAAAATGGCTTGTATAGCTCAGTAGGCCTTACCTGGTACAATAAAAAAAAGTGTAATAGTTTAGTTTAATAGTTTTAAATGGTATGTGAAATGTTCCCACGGCCCACAACATTACTGACCGTAATACATTTGAACTTCTGCTCATTCCGAACTGCGATGAAGAAAATTCAGGCCAGGCCCATGAAAGTGAAACTGGCCTGTTGAATTTTGGCCTCCAGCCCGTGATGACAGCCAAGTTTATGGAAAACGTAGAAACGGTGCCTGAGAGGGGGGGGACGGGAGGCAGTTATGGGTGTGAGATGTTGCTTGTGTGACCTTGTTAAGGCTCCTTGTGGAGCTCACTTTCCACCGGCTGTGGCAAAAAACGGCGGAGCGGCTGCGAGTCTCACGACCTCTTTGCAAGTGCTCGTTGCTTCAGAAAGCTTTTCATGTCATGTTTATTATACTGTTTACACTGAACACAGCAGATGACTAAACTCCATAACGTTCATTCTGACCTTCGAGTTACGAGCCTGAAGGGCCTACAGTCGGGCTAAATTATTGTGCTTCGCAATGGACGACGGAAACCATATCTGTTTTCTTTACTTAAGTTATGGAATGCTGAACAGGCACAACTGAAAGTGTTCACGTTCAAAGGCATTTACGGCAACCTCATGAAACACAGCGAACTTTTTTCATTTTCTAAATGTTACACAGGAACGGCTTGTTTTTTTTCGGACGGTTCAGAAAAATTTCCAAACTGAAAAGACGTAACCTCGTCAAAAGTGTGCCCATTACCTACGTGGCAGTGACCCGGTAACCACCTCGAGTTGCATAACCCTGGGAGTGTGGCAATTGCCTTCTGTCTTCTTGGTTCTTTCGGTAAAGTCACGTAGAAGGGAAATAATAAAATAATAAAACATGTACCGTTCCGGCCTTCATAGGTGCTCGCTAACAGCACTTGCCCCTACAGTCTGTTCAGGCTATACGGGGGATCTTTGTATATTGAACTTCATTCACACTGTGCATAAGCCAACCGTGCTAATCAGAGGTGCAGATGAAGGGCAACAAATGAAACACAATAAGCAGCTCCAAAGAAAATGCTTAAATCTAGTCCTAAAGTGCATCGCTGATGTTGGCCGTGAGCGAGAATCGAACTTGAGTGCGTGACATCTCATCAACACGCCAGCATTTGTGTGCTTTGTATTTAAGAGTATTTCACCTGCTGCCGGTATTATTATTTAATTTTGTCAATATATATTTTCCAGTGATTGTTGCAAATGTGCTTCCCCCCCCCTCTGTGCTGGACACAGAAGGTTCATGGACACGATGATAGAAGAAATTCCGGGGGGTGCCTTCAGTGACCTTCCCAACATTACAAAAATGTGAGTGCACATTTGCATTGTCCTGCGACTTGCGTTTACAGCCCGTGCTGCATCCAAACATTGGCTCACTCCGGCTCGGTGGTGTCTGTAATAGGATTTCTGTGATATAATGTTCATGATACCATACGATAGGAAATCCCACAATACCACAACAACAATATCCGTTTCCCCTAACACTTGGAATTGTATTTTGTTTCTATCGCATTGTTTTTGTGTTTTAATATACTTCCAGTATGAATATATTTTACTTAAAAGTTTTCAATTGCAGTTTATTCAACAAAAGCTGCCTATGAGTCTTCTAATCGTTGCAACTTTACTCTGCATAATGCCTTCAATGCACATCAATCTACAGTGATTACAATACCGTTGGTTACGCAAGAAGTATGTTGGTAATTACATTTTACTTAGGAAGTTCTGACAATTACTCAGGAATATATTTAGCAATAGCTTTTGTATGTATGTTTAACTTCTTTCGCACCATATGTAGCCAACTGTGCTAATCGGAGGTGTGGAGGGAGAACAACAATGGGAATGAAATATTTTAGATGAATGTAACTTAGATAATGATGGGGTTTTTTCTTCCAATTACTCGCCTTTTGCCCATCCAAGGACGGGTGTATTGCAGCCAATCTGAAACTTGCAAGCGAAAAGCAGACCGCCACGTGATATTCATTCCATTAATGCGCGTGCAATGTGTCAGGGCGCGGTGACACAGACCTATATAATTTAAAGGTCATAATCCCTTGTTCATCACGACGTCCTTTTTACTTTGATGTCTCAACAGCAATACGGAGATCACGTGACGTGAGGGTTCTGCCTTTGTAGTGAGGGTTGTGAGTTGACGCCGAGGAGGGGGGAGGAGGCACCTCGCCCCCCATGTGGAGTGACGTCACCCGCTAATTATTATGAATTGGGGGGGGGGTGTCCATTTGGAGGACGTCACCTTATAATGATTATTAATGAGGGAGGCTGTTCGATGTGGTGTGACGTCACTTGCGCATGATTATTAGTGAGGGGGGGAGTACTCCATATTGAGTGACGTCACCCACTCATGATTATTAATGAGGAGGGGTGGGGGGGGGTGTCCATTTGGAGGACGTCACCTGCTCATGAATATTAATGAGGGGGCTGGTCGATGTGGAGTGACGTCACGAGTGTTAAGGACAGACATTCCTTGGTGATTTTAGTAGGTATTCTGGGTCTTATATTTTCTATATTACTCCCCCCCCTCCCATCCCCCATTATCTTCCTTACAATGTAATTTTTTTCTCCATTGTTGATAGTGGGGACATCCACATATGATCCTTCATGAGTGATTAGAATCTGCTTGCTTAGAATCAGTGTCACCTTTCCTACCAACTGGACTAGATTTTTTTATAATAACCATCTTGTTTATGAACGTAATGAACAATTTCCCGTATATCCGATTAGCACGGTTGGCTACGTACGGTAGTAAATAATTTCTACATACATACATTTGGTAATATTGAAATGTTACTTGCATCGATCACACTTGGCTGTGTGATCACTTCCTATGTTGCATTTTCTGAAGGCAGAGACCTTTGGGCTGTAATTTAAATCTGTAAATGATGAAAAAATGCAGCACAACAGCACCAATAAGGTGGCTGGAAACAAATAGATTTAACAACACACAACGTGCTAATGTAGTCCCCATAGTGGAAAGGTACTCGTCCTCTCCATGTATGGTATTCCCAGAAGCATATACTGTTGCGGCAGTGAACATTGATAACTGTATTGATGAATTTTGACTTGAAACTTTCGTAACTGCAGGAATTCATATTCTTGGTTCTTTCGGTAAAGTCACATAGATAGAAAATCAAATCGCAACACAAGCAGTCTTCTCTCTGCTGACGAAGACCGCGTGTGTTGATGAAGGACCGCTTGTGTTGCGATCGAAACGTCGTGAGTTTTTTGCTTAATTTTTAAGCTAATTTTTTTTTATTTCATTACATTTTTATTCTCTATCCACGTGACTTTACCGAAAGAACCAATAATATGTATTGATGAACCTAAACGAGAACGAACTGGTCTTCAGTTGAGGCTGTTTTTATTGCTGCTTGTTGGGATGTCTGCATTCTCCCAACTCTGAGTTGGTCAAATAAATAAATAAATAAACGGCCAAACATTTAGTTCTACTGAGCTGGTGGTCTGGATGAGGCTCAGGAGTTCTAGTCCGTGTAACGCACCCCTTTGTGTGTTGTTAAAGCTGAGCACTGTCCATCAGAATCAGGTCAATCCAATATTTATTTATTTACAATTTCTCTTTTAATCTCTCCATGCAGTGTCCCCATCTGGGCTCTTTGTTGTCCACTTTCTATGTTCTCTCATTTTGAAAAAGGCGTTCATTATCTTCATGTCCCTGCCATCCGTGAACTCAAGAGACCACCTCCGCTCTTGTTCACCAGCACGACGCCAAATTCATCGTAAAAAAAGATTCAATTCTTTATGCATTTGGTCTACTTCATCTTCGTGACTCATTGTTTGAGAAATCTTTTTTAAAAAAAGGTGTAAATCTGTTTTTCAGCTAAGATGTACATTTAATAAGTTTATTGTTTAAATCAAAAGCACATCATTTGGATGAAAGTCGTCAAAATGCGGTGGTAATTCATACATTAGCTTTTATAAGCTTCACAGAAACTGAAAGCCTTTAATGATTTGTAAAGATGTCTGCAGTCACTGAAAGGGAAATTGAACAATGAAGGCTCGCACAACCATGTGATTCGCGGCAATATTAGATTAATACCATCTCAGTGTTGCCTTCTCACAAAGCCAGCTGCCTAGCAGCCCTGTAACACCCACACACACAAAGGCCCGTTTTTTAGGTGCTTGCTTGAGTTGCAATGAAAACGTACAATTTTTTTTCTTCCAGGAAAATCATGTCATGCTAAGCTGCGTTATGAGCCGCCGTAGAGCCTCCCTGGCAACATTTCTCCACTTGGCCCATTAACCACCGCTTTGGAGACGGGCAGCAGAAAGGGAAAAGAACCCTCCTTTTTGGTGCCGCGGTTCTGTCAAAATATTTAGTCCAAAACGTTGGCCAGGATAAATCCTGGGGGCACGGGTCCCGTTGGGGAAAGCTATTGGATATCGCGCGGTAAAAAATTGGCTCCAGGCCGGCACTGTTGCCCCAGGAGTGTGGCCGTCTTTCAGTGGAGGGGCCGGGCCCGCAAGACGCCTCCTGACCGCTGACCTCGCGTCAACCGCAGCACACAGAGCGCCCTCCTGTACGAAGGCGAGGGATTACGACACGGGGGGTGGAGTGGGGTGGGGTACGCTAGGGGGGCACGCTAGGGGGGCACGCCGCTCCTTCCAGGGGGGGAGGGGTGGGGCTGGCCCTGGCCCTGGTGGGGAAAGTCGAACACTTCACGCAAAAGCGGAGGGATTTGAGAAGCGATTTAGTTTGGCACCAGCTGGGATGGTGAATAAAAAAAAATTGTTTTTTATAAAACGGCCGTCGAAACGAAACGCAACAGGCACTTGGGGCCCTCCCGACGCCGACTGGAAGCCTCAAACCTCAGCCGCACGTCACGGCGGATTTATTTAATTGAATTTTCAGTCGCTGAAAAATCGCTTCGAACGACATTTGTGGTCGCTTATAGCCAGACGGATTTTCTACCTACAACTGAGCGTTCAACATAACCATAATCGAGTATTTTCCAGCTGTGCGTGAAAAATAGCCCATATTTGGTCTCTTTGGGCAGCCCTGTTGATGCAATTTGTGGGTCACCTGACACCATCAATGTTTAAGGCAAAAACAAAACAAAAGCTGCTATTGCCATCAAATGGATTACATTACACCCTGTAAAAAAAGCCTGGGCAGTATATATATAGCACATACTTGATATATTACGCACAAGCCAAAGCGATTTCCTGCTCAAAAGAGTGTGGAGTGCCGCGCCTTCTCCTTTTCTCAGACCTGAAAATACTTGTAGAAATTCCACGTTACTGTGACGAGGAGTGCCTTCCCCACAAAGGCGGTACCTATGTGATTAAACCTTGGCGGGTTTAAGGGTCGAGTAGAAGCCCGACCACCAAGCCTCCGAGAATGATTTCGTTCTGCCACCTCCAGTCTCAACCAACACCACCCCCACCCACCCCGTGTCCACCTTCTTTGATGCTTTCTCTCAATCTGTTTCCAGATTTTTCTCCATCGCCACCCAGCTGCGACACGTTCAGGCGAATGCTTTCTCCAACCTCGTGGAGCTCAAGTACCTGTGAGCATTGCAACGCAGACACACATCCGCTAATCCCGCAGGCACATCATTTAGTAGCACTCTCAAGTCTGTTTGTTGTTCACGCTGAGCGATCACTTGAAGCTCATTGCATGAATTTGTCTAAAATTAGTACAAGTCAGTGTCCGCGATAACACGTGAAATGCGTGCGCAGGCTGAACAGAGATTGAGGCACGTGGGTGCCATGTACTGTAGAAGCATCCAGCAGCATCCCGATGCCTTGTGTGATGGTGCCACACCGCGGCAGTCACACGACCGCTTATTTTTACTCGCGTGACGTAGATGCGCTTGCTCGATCAAGTTATATCCATTTCGCATCCGCGTTTAAAAAAAAGGTGTTCCCTAATATACATTCATCGCATTATATCCAATTTGCGTTGTGAAAACACGCATTGTCGGACAAAAGACTGTACTTTCATTATTTCAATTCTGTACTATTTTCTAAAGAGGGTGTGAGTTTTCTTTCTTGTCGTTGATTTTTTTTCTTTCCATTTACAGAGAAATTAAACACGCAAAGAATCTTACTCACATACATCCGCTAGCTCTCCAAAACCTCCCCAATCTCAAGTATCTGTAAGTACTCCTGACGACTTTACAATACGTGTTTTTATTATTTAATTCACATTTACATGACATTTCCTTTTGGGCATATTTTGCTTCATTGCGCTAATTTTTTGTTCAGAAAATGTTCTTGGTAAAATGAACACCGATTCATAAATAACGCCGCGAAGTTTCCTGCGTTGTTAATGTCTGCCATAATTAGCGTATCAGCAGGTGTTAGTTGAGCATTGAATATCCATTGAAATCGGACGAGAACTCATTTCCACTTGGGGCCAAACATATTGACGAGATTTTGTCTGGAGGCGAGGAAACGGGCACAATGAATAATAAATGACAATGCACAATGTTCGACGAAAAACAATTAGAAGGAAAAAGGTGCAGACCTGCAATTGCTGGATTACCACCACTGCAGGTAGAAGCGCCTGCACTAGAAGGGAGCTGTAGAGAGCATCACTTGGGGTGGTGTCTTGGTCTATTCTTCCCCGCTGGCCTGGCATTTGTTGACCATTATATCGCTTCTGAAAAATAAGTCAAAACCTCAGTGGGCTCGACCAAGTGGCTTATCGCGTGGATATTTAGAACAGCCAAATACTCCAAGTGCATGTTACTGAATGTGGAGGGAAAAGCCGGAAGACCTGTAAGAAAATCCACACTACTACGGGGAGAACATGCAAACTCCAAATATACAACAGGCGTCGAGGTCGGGAGTTAACATCTCGCCGCCGCGGCACCAAACGTTGTGCATCGCTGACGCCGCTCTGCTCTGTTTGTCACTCAGCACCATCACCAACACTGGGATCAGCAGCTTCCCGAACCTGCGATGGGTCCGCTCCACGATCATGGGCTTCATCCTGTGAGTGCATCACCAGCGGCTGGCCGCATTGATCGCCGGCTCCAAAACCGCGCCGAGTGACCCCGGATTTGTTGTTGACTCCAAAGCGAGCTGCACCGTCACCACCACCACCACCACCACGCGCCCTGCACTGTGAACACAGTGAAACGCCTCGCAGCCGCACTCATTTTGCCCGAGAATCTTCCCCGTTACTGGAGATGTCTGGCATCCTGCAAATAAATACGTTGACATTACATTTCTGTGTAAAGTGATACCCCGATTTACATCTCACCCGTTTTATTTTTATTGCTTCATAAATACGTCATCACTTAATTCTCGATTTGAAGCTTTCGTGACTGCAAGGATTCATACTCTTAGGTTTTTCGGTAAAGTCACGTCGGTAAAACATAATAGTAATAATAATAGAAATAAATAATAAATCACGACGTTTCGGAGGCAACACAAGTTTCCGTCATCAGGTGGGACCATCACAGCTATATTTACTGTCTCAAGTCGTCACTTCATAATTGCCACAACTGATTTGCGTCGCCTCAACCCCACGGCGTCATCCGTACTTTCTTGTATCTGTCGCCTCAGCCTTCTCCTCCACCGACACTGTAAATCACTTTGATTTTCATCGTTTAGATATTCGGTGCATCTTTCAGGAACGTATCCCGGACGTAAACCGGCGTATTACTGTAATTAACATCGAGCACATTTAACGAACACGTAGTCCCTCCCCTCTCCCAGCCCCCTGTGAAAACAGACTCTGTTCCGTGCGGTTCACAGGTGTCTTGCTCCTTCCTACTCTCTCCCTCTCTTCACTATCCTATCATCATCATCATCATCACTGTCTCATCTCCGACATCATCCTTCTCCCCTTCCGCCCTGTCTTGTTCGGCCCTCTTTCTTTCTTCGTTTCTGCTGCTGCTCATCTTGTGCCGTGCCCTCTTTGTCCATTTTGGGGAATTTCCGTCACAGCATCCCATCCTCTTGCTGTTTCTTTCTCTTTTTCCATTCATTGTGGTGTGCCCACGGGTACGAAGTTCCATATGAATAATTTAATGACATTAAATAAATCCGACAATTACCCTGAAGCAAATGTGGAGGGGCTGAGGTTCACTGGACGGGAAATGTGGGAACGTTTTTTTTTCTGAAAGAGAATTATTTTGTTTATGTGCGTAATACATTTCAAATATGAAGGGGAAAAAAAAAACGAGAGAGCATACCAACATAGCATGTGGCGTCCAAGGAAATGGGTTTACCCAATTCCATTTGACCAAATTCCATCAGATAAGTACACAGCTTTAGAATTGATAGTGCGCAAGTGCATGTGGATTGTAAAATATTCATCAAAGTGATCGGGGAAGGAATGTTACATTTCCTATTGTTGACAAGCGCATCTCAAATTTCATTAAAATGTATTAGCGTGGAGCTTTAAGCCATATCCTGTCAAGTGCAGGGAAATTACTTTGGCCATTCTTTCTGACTTGCATCAAATTCTGACTTTCTCGAGTCCAGATTTGGGACGTTTTACTGCACAATATTATTTTGATTTATGTTGTAACTGCATCTCAAGATCCTATACATAAATAGTGGGCATACTTATTTTAATAAGAGAAGTAGTCACAGGCAGTGGGAAAAAGATGGTCTTCAGCTTGGGCTTGAACAGGGATAGGAAGTCAACAGTACAGATGGCTGGGGGAAGGGGTTTCCAGACCAACTGTAAATATTAGGTAGACAGTTTGATCGATGTACAACTCATCTTGGCCACAGTAAAATATTTTTACATTTGGAGGTCCTTCAGTTTAAAATAATCTAAATTAATGAAACCATATTCTTAACCCCAAATGATCCAGAACTCTCACATTAATCACAGAATGGATTGTAGCCGTACGATGGAGCGACCGGTGCGGGCTAGAAACACCTCCTTGAAGAAGGGTTAATTTATATTCTTGGTTATTTCGGTAAAGTCACGTAGAAGGGAAACAATAAAATAATATAAATATAAAACAAATTATTTTATTGTTTATATTTATATTTTTATTGTTTTATATTAATATTATTTAATTATTTCCATTCTACGTGACTTTACCGAAAGAACCAAGAATATGAATCCCTGCAGTCACGAAAGCTTTAAATCAAAATTGAAGGGTTAATTTGTTCAACTTTTTTTGCTCTCATCGTGAGACAATTGAATAAGGCTCCGATCCGAGAGCCACGTGTCTGCCATGCATGCACGCATCGATTAGCCAAGGTGGGATTTGACCAGTGTCCGATTGCCATTGTCTGTCCGCTGATAGGGTGACGTCTTTTTAAATCCTTTATATTTAGTTCGCTTGCTTGCTTGCGTGCTTGCGTGCTTGTGTGCTTGCTTGCTTGCTTATGACCGTGCAAATCTTTCGGTCGTTTTTTAACACACTTCCCGTTATCCAATCGAACTGACATTTTGCACACAGACTCGTTGTGCGTGACAATTAATTTTCGTGAATTTTTTTTTCCAAAATTTTACACTGTTTATGGAAATTTGTTTTAAATATTTAATTACCAATTGCTTAATGCTGGCAGACAATCATCTGACCCATAGGTGGCAGCCATCTCAAGCCAGAGGACGAGATGACTCTAGCCGCCACGCATATAAAGGATTTAGAGTGAAAAACTTTGTTTTTACGGGTTAATGTTTCTTTGTTTGCCCCAGGGAGATGGCTGACAATCTCAACATGCCCCTGATTCCTGCCAACGCATTTGAAGGCCTGAGCTCCGACACCCTCATACTGTGAGTGTGCCACCCAAACACATCGGTTCATTGGTTGAAATGTTTGTCTTGTACATACATGCGGGATATTTTTGCGCGTTACATTATTAAGGGCATTTTCATTTGATCATGATGACAGTGATGATGATGCACACTAACAAAAACATTTCAGCTATGTGAGACCATACCATGGAATGGAATTCAATAGCAGTGGCGTAATGACGATACCAAGGGGGCGTATGAGGACACTTAATTGCTTGGTAGAGGATTCACATTCGTTCTCTTAGCTGCCTTTGAGATTGTAATGTTACACTTCATAGGCAGACAACAACATCCTTGCGTGGCAAATGGATGCACGCTTGAGGAAGGCATTGCTCGGTAGGTGATCTGATAAACGAGAAGCAGCTGCAGAAGTCTTGATCACATGACCATGCAATTGAGAACTCGCGGCTTCCCTTGCCCTGTGAGTAAAACCAATTAATATCCAGCTGTAAATTAGGGAGCCCAAATGTACTCAATTTGGTTCTCAACATTTTCTAGTTATACGCATAGAAATCACCAATTTTAAAAAAAAATTCAGTTTTGTTCAGGCATTTTGGAATATTATGACACTCACTGATTCGGTCGCAATCATACAATTGTACGTCAATGTCCAAGTGTAGTGTGCACTCGGATACAATGATCACAAGTAATAATTTAGAGTCATTTGTCAATCCACTTCTGGATGAAGATCCTGCACGTGCCATGTCTTTCACGGGGGTTGTTTGACCGTACTTCACCAAACTGGTCAGTGCGGGTTTGCGAAGGGGTGGCACCCAGGATTGGTTAAGATATTATTCGCTATTGATGTTGGAATGTCCAGATTTTTCCTGCCACGTTTAATTTACACATGCTGCATGTTGGGTCGGTCACAAGCTATTGTACATACGTTGTAATTCTTTCGCACCGTACCTCGCCAATCGTGCTCATCGGAGGGTTGCTGGCCGGTTTGTCACAAGGGATGGCAATGGTTTGGGGGAGCCTTCATCCAGCAGTGGATTCATGATGGCCGATGACGATGATGGTCAGAACAATGATTGCCCACATCTCGTTTGCTTACATCGTTGTACAACAGGAGGCTGTACAACAACGGCATCAGAGAAGTGAAGAGCCACGCATTTAACGGCAGCCGACTCCACCGAGTGTGAGTCATCTCTGGCAGCTGCACGTCATTCACGTTGTACCATTTCATTTCGCACCACGCGTATATGCGCCGCGCGGTATATCTCACGAAAGTCTGTGCTCCTCCGTCTTGTCATTCCTCCCGCGTAGGGAGCTGTACAGAAATGAACACCTGCAGAAGCTCGATAACAACGCTTTCGCCGGCGTGCTGAGAAGTCCGGACTACCTGTACGTTAAACAGGGCGGCTCGTGCACACGCACAGACACACTTGCAAGAGAACGTTGAATAGTTTATTGTTATTCGAGATACTGACATCAATTTAATATGAATACATGTAATAGACTTATAAGTTTGAGTTATTTTGTTCATGGCCACTATAAGATATTCTCGAATTATTAATATATATCTACATCGCCCATCGTTGATTACAGTCAATCAAATTCGGCGTTCAAACTCTGAGAAAACGTTTTCCAACACAGCTGTAGGGATGGATGATGACACAGCAGAATAAACAATAGATGTTTAAGTTCTAACAAGGGACACTTTGGTTTTCTAGTGTAAGACTTCACAAAAAAAAACCCCACAGATAAAAAAAATCTAATGGTGGTAAGTCTGGTGAAGGGGCGGACTTGTCATTTTATCAGCAACTGGGGTTTCTCCTAAAACAGCAAGAAAGTACCAATTAATATTGACAACGATTTAAAACGTATAAGTCTAATTCATATATTCACATCAAATCCTGGTTGGAGTTTGACGAAGTCCATCATCTCTTCGGGGTCAATAAACCTCTTTGTGGGGGAAGTGAGGTTATCCTATGGATATCATCTGCTCGCACCATAGGAATAGAACGAATTTACACCACAGCAATCAGGGTGATTAAAACACATTCGTGCGGAGGGAGCTGGTAGGAACGTTGGGTTGCTTGGTCAATGGCCAGGGTCAATGGCGGCGTGGTGTATTCCGCAATTATGGCCGACTGTGAGGGTGGGCACAAGCCGGCGTGAGTAGGTTAAACGTTGAGTTTTATAAGGGCACCACGGGGTGACCAGCCCCTCCCCACCCTCCCCACCCAGCCCCTCAGAGCATGTTTTTTTGTTTGCATGTTCACCACAAGCATGTGTGGTTAATGCAGACAGGATTCCTTGAATAAGGATTCCGTTTGGTGTTTCAACATCTTGACAACTGTTTTACTGCCAGAAAGGGTAACACCTATTGTTATATTTTAATACTGTCAAGAAAGCTCCCGTATTGTTCTAACTCGTTTTCCCGCCCTCCACCGCTGCGTGGGACCTACCAGTGACGTGTCTTGGACCGCCATCGAGTCCCTGCCAAGCCAGGGCCTGGACAACCTGCGCATCCTGCGAGCCGAAGCGGCGACGCGCCTCAAGCATCTGCCACCAACGTCGGTGCTCAAAGCCCTGCTCAACACGTCGCTCACCTACCCGAGCCACTGCTGCGCCTTCCGCGGCATGAAGCGGCAGCTGGGGTGAGCCTTTTGCCCCTTTGGCTCCTTGGCAAGGCCGAGCTGTGGCTCATTTTCTTTCGACGCTTTGTTTTTTGTGGAGGCTTCCACGGGCCGTCCCCCCCAACGGCCGCCCTGGTCGACACTTGCGGGAACCTTGAACCCAACACGAATGCACGTGCCGTCTGCGCCGCGGTGGACGTAAAATAGATTCCGCCGAAAATTATTCGAGAAAGAATAGTACCGGTCGGTGTCACAGTCCTAATTTGGTCAAGTTTCTAAATTGCTCTTAAATTACTTTGCAACTACTTACATTCAATACATGGATAAAACCTAAACATTACTATTGTCTCTTTATAAGGCCTTTGGGCCTACTGTGCTCTGAAACGACAAACCAAAAGCCGCAAAAATATTGAAGAGCTTTACAGTGCAATCATGAAAAAACCTTTGCAGCTGTATGACGATTACTCTAAGCACCTTCTCACTTAGAAGTAAATAAGAACAATCATAATTAAAACACAACATTGCAGCGGGCCCCTACCCCTTCATCCATCACTTATCCTCCCCTCCTCCGGTACATAGCTTAGTTGCATTGGGTCGGCTTTTTTCGATGGGAGATCCTCCAACTGAAAAATGTAACTGGATGTATCAGGTCCGTGAGTTGTTCCATAAAAGCTTAAATACAAATTAAAAAGCAATTGTAAATATTGCTTAATAAAATAAAAAAAAATACAGGCTCGTTTAAAGAGAAAAAAACACACACAACATTGCTTTTGCGTGTGTTTTGCACTCTCTCGCCCTTAATCAAGAAGGTCGCTGGAGCTGCATTGCAACCAGACGACCATGTACCGCTCGCGCATACGCAGGGCGGCGGCCCTGACGCCGGGCAAGGCGCCTCCACTCGGCATCGACGCCAACGGCAGCAGCGGCGAGGCGTGGAGCTCCGGGGAGGACGACCGGTCGGCGCAGAGCGGCCACTACTACTTGCCCTTCCTGGAGGAGCCCGAGGACACCAACGTCGGCTTCGGGGAGCAGATCCGCGTCACCAAGAGCAAGGGCTCGGCCACCTTCGAGCACTCTTACGGCGGTGACCCGTTTGAGTTCTGCATCCCGCGCGACATCACCTGCTTGCCCAAGCCCGACGCTTTCAACCCGTGCGAAGACATCATGGGCGACGAGTTCCTGCGGATGAGCATCTGGTTCGTCAGCCTCCTGGCGATCGTCGGCAACCTCTTCGTCCTCCTCATCATCCTGACGAGCCACTACAAGCCGACGGTGCCACGCTTCCTCATGTGCAACCTGGCCTTCGCCGACCTCTGCATGGGCATCTACCTGCTCATCATCGCCGGGTTCGACCTGTACAGCCGTAGCGAGTTCTACAACCACGCCATCGACTGGCAGACGGGGCCCGGCTGCAACATCGCGGGCTTCGTGTCGGTGTTCGCCAGCGAGCTGTCGGTCTACACGCTCATGGTGATCACGGTGGAGCGCTGGCACGCCATCACCTTCGCCATGCGCCTCGACCGCAAGATCCGCTTCCGCCAGGCGCTCGGCGTCATGGCCGGCGGCTGGCTGTTCTCGGTGGTCCTGGCCGGCATGCCGCTCTACGGCGTGAGCAGCTACTCCAAGGTGAGCATCTGCCTGCCCATGGAGGTCGAGACGTTCGTGGCGCAGGCCTACGTGGTCACCGTGCTCTCGCTCAACGTCCTGGCGTTCGTGATCATCTGCGTCTGCTACGTGCACATTTACGTCACCGTGCGTAACCCCAACTACATCTCGGGCAACCAGGACACCAAGATCGCCAAGCGCATGGCCATACTCATCTTCACGGACTTCATCTGCATGGCGCCCATTTCCTTCTTCGCCATCTCGGCGGCGTTCAAGCTGCCGCTCATCACGGTGTCGCACTCCAAGATCCTGGTCGTGGTGTTCTACCCGCTGAACTCGTGCGCGAATCCCTTCCTCTACGCCGTCTTCACCAAGACGTTCCGTCGCGACTTCTTCATCCTGCTGAGTCGCCTCGGCTTCTGCGAGGCGCGAGCGCAGCTCTACCGCGGGCAGACGGCGTTGAGCGTCCACCCGTCGGGCGTGCGCAACGGCAGCTGGACGTCGAGCCACCGGGGCAGCGGTGGGACGGTGTACACGCTCGTCGCGCTCAACGGCAGGGACGGCGCGGCCGGCAAGGGCGGCGGCGGCGGCGGCGAGGTGCCCGGCGTCGTGCCGCCGTGCGCAGCGAATCCCGGCACGTGCGTGCGGTGCGCCCTGTGAGTGGCCCGGAGCGCCATCTCTTCCCGTGGCTTTTTTTGTGATTCTGAGACCCTCGGGGCAAGCTGAAGGTGTCCATGTACGAAGTGCTGTTCAAAAGTGAAACTATCTTTGAGCAGAACATAAAAAACTCTTACGTCTTAGCGACAGATGTGGAACTTGGATACGCGTTTCAAACTGGTGAAGCTTCGATTTAAAGCTTTCGTGACTGCAGGGATTCATCTTCTTGGTTCTTTCGGTAAAGTCATGTAGAAGGGAAGTAATAAAATAATAAAAATAAAACATAATAAAACAATTCTCACGACGTTTCGGCCACAACGCAAGCAGCCGTCCTCAGGTGAAAACCAGGTCCGTCGAGGCGACAGAGTCTGAATGAAACAGCACACGAGCTTGGAGCATATATATAAGCTGGGCGCATTGACAAAGGAATGTGCATATCAAAAGGAATTTAGCATATTTATGGGAAATGCAGGAATGTGATTAGTACTGCATATGCATGTGCATTATGCAGGATTAACAGCATCAAAGGGAGCTGCAGTTACTGCTGCTGCAGCAGTTGCTGCTGCTGCTGCAGTTTCTGCTGCTGCTGCAGTTGCTGCTGCTGCAGTTGCTGCTGCTGCACTTGCTGCTGCTGCTGCACTTGCTGCTGCTGCAGTTGCTGCCTTATCCATTTTAATATAACACTATGTATTATTCTACCCACCCTAATGTGTATCATACTGCTATATGTTTACTGTACAATTACGACACCATACATTACTCTGCACACTGCACCATGCCAGTGAGTGGAACGCGGTCTGAAAGTCACCGTAAACGTGAACACAATCAGTTAAGATCCGAAATGGTTTATTACGTCCTTCCAATGATTGCTAAGCCAGAATCCATCTTCTCGGTTGAAATTGTCTCTGTGTTTGTATATGTGGATCGCCTCATGAACGAATCTCTCATGATAGCCAGATGGCTTGCAGAGAACCTCTGTCTTGGAGAAGTCAATGTCATGTGAGCCCACTGAATTGTAACAGTGATCTGCCACGGCTGAGGTGTTTGTCCTACCGTGTTTCAGGTCCGCCTTATGTTCACGGATGCGGTCCGAGACATGTCGTTTGGTTTCTCCAATGTAACTGCTACCACAGAGGCAACTTAGTTTGTAGACGCCAGGGTACTGTATGTCTGGAACCACATCTTTTACAGACGGGACCAGATCACGGATTTTATGTACTGTGTTGAATCCTGATTAAACACAAGATCCAGGTCCGATTCAACACAGTACATAAAATCCGTGATCTGGTCCCGTCTGTAAAAGATGTGGTTCCAGACATACAGTACCCTGGCGTCTACAAACTAAGTTGCCTCTGTGGTAGCAGTTACATTGGAGAAACCAAACGACATGTCTCGGACCGCATCCGTGAACATAAGGCGGACCTGAAACACGGTAGGACAAACACCTCAGCCGTGGCAGATCACTGTTACAATTCAGTGGGCTCACATGACATTGACTTCTCCAAGACAGAGGTTCTCTGCAAGCCATCTGGCTATCATGAGAGATTCGTTCATGAGGCGATCTACATATAGCAATCATTGGAAGGACGTAATAAACCATTTCGGATCTTAACTGATTGTGTTCACGTTTACGGTGACTTTCAGACCGCGTTCCACTCACTGGCATGGTGCAGTGTGCAGAGTAATGTATGGTGTCGTAATTGTACAGTAAACATATAGCAGTATGATACACATTAGGGTGGGTAGAATAATACATAGTGTTATATTAAAATGGATAAGGCAGCAACTGCAGCAGCAGCAAGTGCAGCAGCAGCAGCAAGTGCAGCAGCAGCAACTGCAGCAGCAACTGTAGCAGCAGCAGAAACTGCAGCAGCAGCAGCAACTGCTGCAGCAGCAGTAACTGCAGCTCCCTTTGATGCTGTTAATCCTGCATAATGCACATGCATATGCAGTACTAATCACATTCCTGCATTTTCCATAAATATGCTAAATTCCTTTTGATATGCAAATTCCTTTGTCAATGCGCCCAGCTTATATATATGCTCCAAGCTCGTGTGCTGTTTCATTCAGACTCTGTCGCCTCGACGGACCTGGTTTTCACCTGAGGACGGCTGCTTGCGTTGTGGCCGAAACGTCGTGAGAATTGTTTTATTATGTTTTAGTTTTATTATTTTATTACTTCCCTTCTACGTGACTTTACCGAAAGAACCAAGAAGATGGTGAAGCTTGTTTTTTTGTTTTGCCAGGCCAAAATCAGTATGTTTGGAAAAACATTTTGATACTATATATATCCTTTAGTTTCAAGTGTAATGGATGGGTGTGGGACATCAACCATATAGGGAACAACTTTTGGATACAGGAGTCATCCCTGCAACGTTTGGAGAAGGAGTCTCACTCATTAGCCCGTCAATGTGACTATTGGACATCAGCCCCTCTGTGGCTCGTTGCCATGACAATTTCACGGTGCAGAAGAACCACCTCTCGATAATTTCAACTGCACGCTGAGAATTTTCGTGAGATAAGTTCTCTGCAAAAAAAATCCAGCCAAAGGAAATCTGCATCTGTTTTTTTTTTTGCCCACGAGGTTCACTTTTTTTTAGTCCGTTGAGTCGAATGTAACTTGAATTATTACCGCTGCTGAAGAGGTTTACGGTTAAATTAAATAGTTTTAAACAGTATGAGAGTTATAAATGTACACAAATTTGGGTACGTATGTAAAAAAAAATGGAGAAAATTTTTTTGGTATTTTTTAAAGCAATCGTCAGTGTTGTCAGTGCCAGTTTTGCAGAGTTTGACTCGCCAGGTCATGTCATCGCTGCGCATACAATATGCATCATCTTGATAATTTTTTGAGTGTATTAAGAGGACAGAGGTGAACGGTAATCCTGGGAACTCACATCACTGACAATCGATTCCCCCTCCATCAAAGGGGCATTGGTTCCACTATCAGTGTCGAGAGAGATTAGGTACCCACACGTTTACCCACCAGGTGTGATCCACCAATCGAGTTGTACGAGTCACACCGATGAACAAGGCTGATGGATGCCCCTCCACAGGCCTATGCTCGAAGGAGCTCGGAAGGAGGGGATGTTTTAGGAGACCGAGAAACACTATGTTTTCAGTATGGAGGCCAGGGGGGGGGGGGAGGGGGGGTTCCTCCACACATCGTCCATAATCCAAACAGAAAATGTGTACAAATGTAATTGCAGTTTACCGTACTTTTGGTGATTTTTTATTGTGTTCGCGAATGTATTCATATTCTGTAATTAATTTGAAGTTGTCGGGTGTTGTAACGTTATATCTATTTGCAATTGTTCGTACACTTTTTATCTCTGTGGTGCCTGTGCTATTCGACTCGATGCCATTTGTTGTCTCTTCACAGTTACTTTAAGTTGCGTATTTTTCTATCGTGTGCGGAAAAAAACAAGTTTATGGCGCGTCATTCAGCAACCTGCTCAAGCCGCAGCAAACTATTTCAAACGTATGGTCAAAAATACAAGTCTGTTGCGCTAGTTTTCGCTTGCTCTCCGATTTGTTTACAGGTTGTACCGCGTATTTCTCATTCATTTCGTGAATCAGAATCTCCAGCACGTGGAGTGGAACATCCGGCATAATGCGAACAGCAGGCGGTACGACCCCAAAAACGCATGGAAGAGTTTCCACAGCAGGACAGCCACCAAGCTCTACGCGTGTAGTTTTTTTGAATGTTAGAATTCCAAACAGCAAATGTCTGCACTGGGATCCATGGACCTCTTTGAAAGCCTCTGAACTGCAACATTTTTTGTGTCCGATTTAAAGCAAGCGAAAATTGTAAGTGTTAATTGCTCAATGACGAACGTGTGACCTCAATCATAAAGGTAACCAATACTATGCTTGCTTGCTAGCGATGGCCATTTATAGGCCCTATGCGACGTGAAAATTCAAGGAGCTTGCAATAGATTATTGAGAAACCCCTGCCCCCCCCTCCACACACATTTGTACGCGTGCAATAGCAGCTATTGACTGCAGGCCACACTCACAATTATGAAATAGAGAGGTGGATGAGAAGCAGGTTGGAGTACGTTTAGGAATGCTGAAGTGGATAATGAGACGCCACATAGCAATGCGCTTCAAGGAGAATGTGTTTAATCAGTGTGCACCACCTGCGCATGGATTCAAAACACAATGATGATGAATGAGAAAAAATTCTAAAGAGTGCGCAAAGGAGCATGGAGAGTTGCACGCCTGGAATACGTTGAGAGCCAGGAAGAGGAACACGTGGATCAGAGAACTTGTGAAGGTGAATTACATCATCCAAACTATAGAAAAAAAAGTAAGTGGGCTCGGGCCGGATGCGTCACGGATGCAAGGGACGATGGTCAAGAATAAGAACGGAGTGGCAGCCAACGAGTGTGGAGTGCATCTGAGAGAACATCTCCCCGTAGAAGGGGACGGCTGCTTGCGTTGTGGCCGACACGTCGTGAGAATTATTTTCTTATGTTTTATTTTTATTATTTTATTACTTCCCTTCTACGTGACTTTACCGAAAGAACCAAGAAGATGAATCCCTGCAGTCACGAAAGCTTTAAATCGAAATTATTCATCCTTGATCTATAGGATTCGGGGGGGATGCGTCAAGCGTCCGTACGCAGGGGGGGGGGGGTGTAAAAAGTACGCGTGCGTACAGGGTGGGGTCAAGTTTTGACAGATGTTTGCGTACCTACACAATGAATGGCGTTGGCCTTGAGCAGGAATTGAACTCGGAACGTCGAGTTCGCAGCGTCGCACACGAACCGCTGCCAACATAAATCAGCAGTGTGGGGTGTAAACCGTAAATGCTATATATTAATGTTCCCTTTGATTTCCCGTGTTTGTGTCTTGGAGTGTGTTTGTGTCTTTGTTTTCATAAAGATATGTGACTGGGTTTGCCTCTTCTTAACTTTTTATGTCTCACTGTCAAATATGATACGAAAAAACACCGTCGCAGCAACAACACGGTCATCGTCATGATCAGCTGCTACATCATCCTAACAGTCACCGTCATCATCATCATCATCACCACCACCACCATCATCAGCAGTGATCCCTGCTGTGATGAGACTCGGGAGCGTTGGAGATTCTCGGCGCTCACGGATGAGTTCTCATGCGCACGTACAGAGACAATGCTGGTGT